ATGGCGAGTGCTACAGAAAGTAAAGGCATGTCATTCATGTTTTGGTAACGTATCTCTAGTTATCTGCCTGGACTAGTTTGCCAAGTTTCTACATTTAAAAAGCCCAAAAAGTGACGTATCTGACAGTTCAGGACTCACTATCACACCCAGAGGAGTGAACTGTACATTACAGCTCAGTCACAACCTACTTCAGCCACTCCAGGACAGGAGCTCCTCTATCTCTCATTAGGCCAAACTGAAGTAAGAAGTAAAAGTAAGAGCACCACGTGTCCACCCTCCCATGGCAGAAACTTACCCATCACTCCCAGGAGCTCTCATTACTTCTCATACCACGCCCTCTGTCCCCCGGCCACTCTGTTAAAGTCAGCCAGCTCCATCCATCACATCCATCGATCCCGCCCTCCCCCGGTGTGGTACCTGTCTCCTTTTGAGGCTAAGTGGAAAGGATGGCAGAGCAGCCATGATATTTCAGCTCCCCACGTGACGGCCCGGTTCCTGAAGGATCTTCCAAGGTGAACCAGCGCCCGGGCCCCCGTGTAGTAAATCTAAATAAAGAAACTGGTCCTGGGGGGAATTACCTGCAATCTGATTTTAGTAACTGGACTTGAAAGTCCTAATCTGTGCTTTCAATGCTTTTCACAAAAGTGTTTTATATTTTTGCTTTAACCAGTAGCAGCAACGACAGATTTAGATGTCAGAGCAGAGCCAGCATCATCACTGCGGCTTAAGATTCAGCACTGATGTTTCACAGAGCAAAACACAAAAATCTATTTAAAGAGATGTGATGTTGTGTCACAGTGAGTAGAGCTGTTCTTGACTTTGATCCCATTACTCAGAATTTTTTTTTTTACAGTCAGAACACGAAACTCGAGCCTTTAAATATCTTTTCTTTGAAGAATCCAGAGTAGTTTGGTCGTCACAGCAGACGTTCTATAAGAATGAATCAACCATCTGTGGCACTGTTTTATTGCATCTATTCAAACATGTTATCAGTGATAAAAGGTACCAACTAAAGTGAATTACAAAATCTGTGAAGTGCACAGCAGTGTTCCTAGCAGCCAATGAAATGTCAGGTCTGTTGAGATTTTAATAACGTCAAACATATGTAATGAGCTGCGAATTGAACCTTGGTCGCAAGAATGGGTATTTTACATGAAAGCGCTACATCATCGTCTTGGACCTTAGTTCTTTGTCCTTAAAAATGATAGAATCAGTGAAAGCAGCATAGTTTTGATGTGGTCGGTTTTCGTTTCGCCTGATCTTCACTGACAAAAATGCATCTCAAACAGGATTTCTTCTCCTGTAAAATGTTCTGAAGTGGTTCTGAAACATTTCTGACTCTTTCATCATCTCTGAGTTTCTCGTCTCTTTTTAAAAAGATTTTTGGACTGTTGTTGCTACTTTGGTATATTTTGAAACAAGTTTCAAAAAGCTAAGAGAAGTAATGTTGTTACTTTGTGGAATTTATTATAATGTTGGATTTCAAAAACACAAGAAAAACTGAAACGTTTCATCAGGATCTGTTCTGATTACACGATCAACTAAATATGAGTAAAAACACTGTGACCAATCAGTTTGGTTTAAATGTAATATTTAGGCAGAGTTAATTATTATAAAGGCAGTGGGTGGTTTATATTTGACCAAAGTTTGATTCAGTTTGGTGACCAAATTTGACCAAAGTTTGATTCAGTTTGGTACAGAGCCTTGCTTTCTGTTCAGCGCTGGTTTTAAGGTTTAGTTCACTGCAGCATTCAAACCTGACTCTTCTGGTACAAAATAGACGAAGTAAACAAAGTAATATTTCTGACTTGTTCCAAGAGAAAGTATATTTTTGTGCTCACATGTTCTGACTTAAACATAACATTCAGTCCTTTAACCTCGCTGTATCTTAACAATGGCTCTCATATATTATGTGTAATTTCTGAAGCAGCAACTTAAATGAGAGGTAACAAAACAAAGATGGAGACAGACACGTCCTCTGAGTCTATTTCCCTCTCCTATCGTATGGCCATAAGTGATGGAGACGGGTCTGTCTGTCAGGAGCCTGCGTCTCCCACCGGTGCACTATTTATAATTAAGTGTGATTTTTAGCATCAGCAGACAACAGGAAAAGCAGTCGTACAGTCTGTTTCCTGTTGTCTCTACACAATCTGTTGTTTTTAATTTCAAACCTTCTCTGCCAATTTGGAGTAAAAAAAAGGAAAAAAAGAAACAGATTTAGTGTAGCACTGATCTGCCCTCGGAATGATTTGAAATGCTTATTAATTTTACTACCTTATTAAATCAAATTGATTTCTTTAACAGTTGGCGCTGCTACATGGCAACTCGTGGGACTGAACTACTTAAAAGTGTCTAAAAATAGCAGCATAAACAGCCAGTGACAGACAGTGTTTAATTAAGTACAAAGAAAGCATTACATTCACCGACTCAGTGACCAGAACTGACAGGTAGTCACTCACACAAAACAGAGCAGAAATATACTGAGGATGGGAGAGGCAACATTTACATTTATTAGTCTTGTTTCTGACTGGTGTGGTTGAAGTGATGGCAGATGAGAAACTGATCCTGGATCTGATTCTCTGCTGAGTCTGTACATGTAGCTGTCGGCAGCGTAACAACGCAGAGGGGAATCAGATAAATAAACCCACATGAAAGACTGTGGTGCAGATACAATCCTGGAGTCATTAATTCACTTTTGTGCAGATGAGAGTTTCACACAAAGAAGTGTGGGAGAACATTCAAATCAAACGGTGAATTTCTTGCTCTGAGGTCAGAGAACTGACTCTTATAAAGTTTGGCCACTCATTTGTGTTGTCCTGAGTTCACTGCCCTGAAAACAAACAGCACAGTCGGTCTCTAAGCTAGGGACCCACCTCCCATGTCCCACTCTTGTGGTGATCACAACCTTCCCGTCATTGGGTCAGGGTGTGGTCACTGCCTTTGTTTTTATTGCTGAAGAAGCCTCTTGGATGGAGCATTGAAACGTCTTGCAGATAGGTTTTGTTGTGGTGATGTTTGTATGGTGATGGTAGAGCAGATGGAGGTGCAATGGCTCCAAAATAATTCCAGTATTCAAAGTAAGACAAAGGACCTTGCACTCATTCGTGATCCATTTCAGGAGGAAATCCCTGAACCTCCTGGAGGATATTTGCTCAGTAAAAAGCGTTCTCTCTGAGGTACATACTGTATGTCCTTTTATGGTCAGATCTGCCACGTGGGGCACAGTATGGTGCAGGAATTCACTTATGGGATGGGAATGTTGGGAGTCTCCATGACTTTGCCTGAGGCTGATGGATGTGGAAAAGTGTGGCCCTGCATGTGGTTTAAAACCTGGCAAGTGAGAGAAGCTTATTGTTCTGCTGTGGAAAAACCCTGCGCACTCAGCTGTGTTTACACCCCTGAGAATGAGGCTGCTGCTGCTGCCGCTGCTGCTGCCGCTGCTGCTGACACGCCTTTGCAGATCCTTCAACTCCCCCTGTTCTGAAAACAAGGGGCAGAATTGGGAGACAAAGCAACACCATTCAGTTCCTCTCTCCTTGTCCTCTGTGACGCCGTCTTCCAATTAGCCACACGGCCACTGTCGAGGTGAGATAACAATAGAGGTGTGCGTATCCCCTAAAGAGCTCACTAGAGACCTTTATTACTGCATTGATGTCTCCTACATGTCACCGCTGCCCTGGCTCTCCTGGCAGCGTGCCGCCACAGTTTATGTGAGGGGGAATCACCACAGAGGCTGTAAATTCAAAAGTGGAAGAAAACAGCAGGACACGACATTAAGCTGAGTGCTACATGCTATAATTAGTGAGATGCTGGAATGAAGACGCGGAATGTGTGAAGTACAAAAAGTCGAGTGACAATCCAGTACAAGAACCAATATAAAGTGAAAACATTTCACAATCCAGTACAAAGAACCAATATAAAGTGAAAACATTTCAAACCAACAGTAGTTGTAAATACTTGTTTTAGCACATGTGCCTGCAGATAATTTATCCTTCAGTTTGTTTGTTTTTCATAAATGCTCTACCCACAAATGTGTGTAAAACACAACAGTACAACATTACAACAAGAAATACAGACAATCTACATATTGCATTTTTACACACACACAGGTGTTAACGTTAGCTCGTATCCCATAGCACCACAGGTTACATAGTAAAATGAGAAAATACTGGGGGAATGAATCCCAACTAACTCAAGGAAAAACTCGTAAAAACTGAGCACTAAACGTAGTTTACATTATGTGCAATACTGTTTCTATTAAATAATGTCAGTTTGGGTGTCTGACTTATTACGAAAATGTATTTTTACCCATTTTAACCCCAGTCTTGTTACTTCAAGATAGAAAAATACACACACTAAAAATAATAGTGTCTAATGAGAGACAATGCTGGGTTTAATGTTTGCTGGATTCTGTTAAAATCAAACGACTTGACTGTCACGCACCATGACACTGATTATATCACCACCTGCAGGGGAGGTGAGGGAGGCACGTGCTTTGTGTTCATTAGAGAAAGAAAAAAGAATAAGCATAGTCTTTAAATACCCCAGTGGCCAATAGAATAATGTATAAAAAGAGTTTGTGCTGGTGTGAAAGACAATGATGCCCCATAGACAGAATATCCAAAAAAATGATGTAGTTCACAGTACGCTGCAGAGGTCATGTAGAATCTTTTTTTTTTGTAACAAATTTTGGTAGCAGCTCTTTGTGTGTAGACGATTGTGTAAAAATAGACTGTTTTTAATTCATGTTTATGGTGAATCATTAATTTCATGTAATCAACCATAGTGACAACCTATCAAAATGCTCTAATTATGGCTGTAGATAATTTAGGACTGTTAGTGGACAAAACCTGAACCAGTAGTTATTGATTGCACTAGTTACAACGGGACGCTACAAGAACATACAGAGGTTTAGAGTCACATCAAATATATATTTTTTTTATGTTTTTCAAGACTTACTTAAATATATAAATTACAATAGTATTTTTTTTTTTTTTTGAAAATTACGTTTTTATTTCTGAATCCATCCATATAATTTTAATGTCCACCTAGTGGCTCGAGACTATTCACCTTAATAAAATGTAGTCTAGAAAGAGTTGAAAAATGTCTTTAAATCAGACTTGAAGTGTCTGATTGCATTTAAAAAAAATCTTTTTTCCATATCCTGATAAAATGGTCCACACAGAGCTTCTAAGCCTTTATGTTTCCTGACTGTAAAGCTCTTTGAGTGATGCTCTCGAGTAAATGGATATAGGGTCACTACTACTGCAAAGCCAGGGTCAGGGTCTCAAAGAGCCACAGTCTGTGAGTGAGTGGTCATAAAACACCACAGGCTTCTGTTTCAAATGTCCCAGCTGTCACTGAAATACTGGTCCTCTTCTTCCTCGTCCTCCTCATCCTCCTCATCATCATCAGTCACATTTTTCATCAGGTCGTCATCTGTTAGGGCATTCACTTCGTCTTCGTCTTCTTCCTTGAGTTGTGCGAGCATGGTCTGTAAAGTGGCTTTCACCTTCTGGACTTCCTTTTCGAGAGACTGTGCAGGGAAGGTTAAGGGAGACTTCTGAAACACATGTTCACCGTGCGTTACTAAACCAGTGACGGAACATACAGAGGTCCAGTGGTTTGGGGTCACTTGAAGTGTATGTTGGCAGGTGTATTTATTCCTTTAGTACTTTCTATTGTGCGAGCTGAGCTGTCATTTATCTTGAAGAAGACAGTTAGTAGTAAGAGGACATGACTCACTATTGTAAATAAGGACATTTTTTTCTGTTACAGAATTTACTGAAACACAGTAAATTCTCAGTCATCAAAATGTTGAATTCATAGATTTAGCTTTTCATCTGGACATAATTTAAGTTTTGTAACAACATTTGTGTGTTTTACAAGGATGTTGTTTGTCACTGTGAATACATTTTAGCATTTGTTGATTTTATACAGTAGCACCCCCTGTAGGGGAGTTAGGTAGTGCTACATCTTCTGTGTTCACAGTTACAGTTACTTCATCTTAAAGACTGTTCAGATTATGTAAGAGAGTACCTTAGAGTCACAGGTTTGTACTTCTAAAAACATTCCAGCAGACGAATACGAGGGACACTGTGACATTGGTGGCTGTTAGCAGTGGAATGGTATTATCAGGGGTCTGCCATGACCATATAAGGACTCTACAGTTTGGCCCCCTCAAAAACTGTATAGCAGGGACCCAGTTCCTATTTACTATTCATGAGTTAATCTCATCTTTGGGGCTGGGTGGCGGGGCGGCGACCCAAGCAAACAGACTGTCCCTTTAAATAATTCATAAAGCATCAATGAAATGGGATGGAGGCTGTCATCAGTGCGGGGGTTGTTTAACCTGCTCAAATTAATCTAGCCACTGTTCAACCTAAACGGCAAATCAAAGGGCTGGCTTTGGTGGCAGATGAGGACCGATGGCTCGTTTTACTCCCTGAATGGACACAGATTGTTCTCATTCATAATTAAGCAGCCCTTAAAGAGCTTCTGCAGGGGAAGGGGTGT